CCACGTTGTGAATTCAAATTCCCATTATTGTCATTGCCACACAAACAACAAAAACGTTACCACAACAATACAGAATAAATAAATGGCATATTTTAAACAGTGAACATAACACCTGGCAGTTTGGTTATGTAACGCAATGGCAGGGAGAGGTGCAGAGGGGACCTGTTAAGAAGTCTGTCTAACATCAAGTGTCTGAGAAACAATTCCAAGCAGCCTCTTTAAACTTGCCTTAAATCTTCACATAGAGTCAGGGATGAACTGATTCAAATTCAGTCTTTCATTTAAGTTCAGTTTCATTTCAAAAAACAGCGTTCACCTCAAGGTAAAGACACCACAATATTAGAGAAAACCTCAGTAATCAGACGATCCCCTGTGAGCAAGCACCTGAAGAACTCCAGTGAAGTAAAATGACGCTGAGGGAGGTGTGGCCCTCTAATGCACATGTGGTGATAAGCCAAAGGTTACTGTGGCTTAACAAAACTCAAGGATTCATACTCTAATTATGACAGTGTCCAAATTTTGGATAAAATTGTCAACTAATGACATTTTTGTATTCAAAGAAGTAAAAGATTACAAACAATATGGCAAAATAAGGGTCCACACAGACCAGCGTTCAGTGCCATAAAACTCAGGAAGAGAGCTTGACGTCCTAATCCACATCTGGTCGCATGCTGAACTAGTCATAGTTGCTTACTTTGGAAATGCTGTGCTGCCGGGTATATGTGTGCGAAGCATCCCTGTTTCAGAATTGGTGCATGTTTCACAGCGTCATCCATATCTGAATAATTGTCTTGTGTGAGAATCAGCTGTTGTCCTCCAAAGTCTTCGCTGCAGGAGCCATAAGAATCTGAACAGACAAGAAAGCTGGCATGAAGTCTGTGAAGGCATGCAAAAATATTAATCTCATGTGTGCGTGTGTATTTCTGTTTTCTCACAGATGATGGAGGCTCATCTTAGCAGAGACAAAGCTATCAAGGCTTGTATAGCTCAAACATCAGAGGTGGTGGGACAGCTGCGTGAGCAAAGAGCAAAAGACAATGAAAACATGGCACTAATCAAACAGCTCAGGAAGGAGCAAACCAAAGTAAGTCCTGTCTATAAAAATTCCATGTCTTTTCTTTCTCTTCTTTTTTTTTTTTTGACATTCTTAGTGCAGTTTTCTTGTCATTTCTTCTTTAAACCTGTCTATAGCTTTTCAGTTGCATTATGGGAGATGTAGGATTCTGTGTTTCTGTAGTTTTTGCCCATTAAAAGGAATACAAATAAGGATCTGTTGCTTTCTGTTGCTTCATTGTTGTTGCAGGTTTAGCAGCTATCTCCACTGAATCCACTGTGGATGCTTTTAATTTAGTTTTTCTGTGCTGTGAGGATCATAAATGAAATGTAAACAAATATCTTAAACTTGAAAAAAGCTTGAAATTTGAAAATATAGAGGAAACCTGCTGTAGCTGACTGAACCTGCAGGGCTAAATGCATCAAGTAACCACTGAGGAAATATAATCCTTCTCTTTTTTTTCTTTTTTTTTTTTTTTTAAATTTGAATAAACAGACCCTGTTATCTTATTAGAGCAAAAATAATAATAGAAGTACTTTTTTTTCTGTCCCCAGTTAAAGTTGATGCAGTCAGAGCTGAACGTTGAAGAAGTTGTAAATGACAGAAGTCTGAAGGTACAGTTTGCTCGCTGTTCTCATCACTGACTTGTCCTACAGTCACACATAAATGAGCCGTCGTTATCATGTGTTACTTACTGACGTTTCCTCGGTTCAGGTTTTCAACGAAAGGTGCAGAATCCACTACACGCCTCCGAAGGTGAAATGAAGTCCTGCTTCATGAAAGGAGCTCTTTCACT